GGCTGATCTGAATTCTTCCCGTGCCTGTCCGACTCCCTGCGCTCCCCTCAGCTCCTTTCTTCACTGACAGCTCTGTCCACTTCACAGCCCGCGACGACCTGCATGTCATACCAAAGAGAAGGAAGAATGAGAGGGAGAAAGTTCACGTTTCAGCCCACTTGGCTCAGGCTGAGCCAAACCTGCCTCGCATCCTTTATTCCCATATGAATCCTTTGTCCTGTTTTTGCAACTGCATTAGACCGGTCTGGTGATTGATTCACAGCGATTTCTTTACCAAGTTACCAGCCATATATATGACGCGTTTGCTTATTATTGCTCAAGATAGATTTTTAAGAAATGCTGGTTTCTCAATTCTCTCTGCCATCCTATTCTAATGTATATCTATGAAATTGAATCATCCTGTCTGAGAGTATTCCCTTCTTAATAAATCAGCTTTCTGTGGACCTATACAGTGGGCAGCGGATCAAACTCAGCAATATTTTCTGCTTTAATGTACTGAGCAGGGCAGAGATTGGGCCATGGCAGTGACTCAGCACACATCCATCATCTTCACAAAGAGACGAATTGCCTAGACAAAATCCTGCATTTTTCTTTCAGCTGTGCTCATCTCAGCGCTCGGGTTTTACCTCAATTTTCAGATTTCTCTGGCAATATTCGCTCCAAAGCAAAAGGCATTTGTTGCCTGTGAGTTACTAGCAGTGAAGGATGTGGGGACTCCTGATGCCTGAGCTGTCAAGATCAGCATCAGCATGTTGCCATTGCCATTCTTTAGAAACCTTTTTAAATACATTTGATGAACTTAAAAATGCATGGTGGTCACATTTAAACCAACACTGTTTTTTCTCAATTCCTGACATTTTATGATCAGTTATTTTCCAAAAGTAGTTAGTTGGCAACTGCCTGTCCTAATCACTTGATTTTACATAATTTCACTATTTTGGGAAATAATTTTATTTACATAAGGAAACTGCTACCACACAAGATTCTCAAGCCAGGAAACTATTATTACTACTATTATAACATGGACTGCACTGGTAACAGGGGGAAACTGCTAGGCTGGCTCTCTCCAAAGTCATCAAAAGCCATCTCCCAGCATAGATAAAGTTCACAAATATAGGCTCTTGGTTCACCTTATATCTTGTTTGTTTAATCTCAACAAAAAAGGGAGAGTAAAAGCAACAATTTGCAGTTTTAAGTTTTTTTTTAAATCAATTTCTAGACTGGGACAAGTCACTTCCTGAAGCCTTGTCGTGGCCATGAGGTTTACCAGGCAACCAGCAGAGACTTGAGCTTCTTCCTGCTTCCAGTCTATAATATATTTATGCTGAGCTAAGCTAATTGTCTCCTGGTTGTACCTTCATATTTAGCATAACAAACATGGTATCACTTTTCTCATCTAATGCAAAAAAATGTTGCATGACTCCTGTAACCAAACACTGATTTTCTGAATTCCTGGCATTTTATGTTGATCCATAATTTATTCCTAACAGAAACCATGTGTTGTCCATAAACTCTATATTTGTAATGTATCAACATTTTGCCTGTTTGAACGGTTATGGATGCCATTATAGAGTTTTTGTAGACATATGTAAACTGAAGGGATTGCAGATGTCAGACTGCCTCTGGGTGTGCAGACAAAGGCTTTGCCTGGAAAAGTTAATGAATTGCATTGGCCCATAAATAACCCTCGGCCTGCCATACACACTGAAAGGTCAGCAGGCTGATATATTGAGCTGACATGAAAACGCTGTTACTAAGGACTTACACATATCACATACATACATCTCTGTTCGTCTCGCTCTCCCTCTGCCTTTTCTTCATTAGGGCCCGAGTCATGCGACAGGGCTGGGCCGCTGTGACAGCAGTTAGGGGAATTTTTGACAGGCTGAGTTAGGGAGGCTGTTCGTGGGAGGTGATGTCAGGCGAGAGAGGAGTGACACGAGGTGAGGGAAGACAGCCAACACCCTGCATCTGATCTGATGGGAAGTGGCAGGAGATGAAGAGAAGGAGGCAAATTCAGCCTGAAAGCGTGGTCATAGTCTGAGGTCAGCGGGCACAGAGAAAAGACGAGGGGCACCACTCCAGGAATACTGAGTAGGGAATAACTCATCTTCACTGTCAATCATAAAGAGATCACACTTGCTGTGATACTTTCTTTATTTTTACAGCCGTCATTTTCGTCACATATGCTAACATTATACCGAACAAAGTGATGATCTAGGAACAGAGCAACACACAATGTAGTCTGCCAAGCCAAAAAACACAAGCTGTCAGACAGGTTGTAAACAAGCCAGCAGTTTAACCAAATCAAACCAAAAACTGTGTGCATGCACGACCACTCTAAGTAAAATGGGTCAACCATGTACCAATAAATTGTGATAGATGTTGACAACAATTTTATCTTGTTTTCTCTTTCAAATAAGTTATTTTCATTTATTCTTTGGACTCATTTTGTTTTTTTTTACACAAACCTGTCAGTAGTGAGTGATATTGGTCTCGCCAACGCCATTTCCTGTTGACAGGAAAGCTGCTGTAGCAGTTTCTATGAGCAGTTTAGCTAACGTTTTTGTCACATTAGTTTGTAAACGTTTTGGGGGAATACGCTTCTTACAGAGAGTTAGATAAGAAGATTGATTCCAGTCTCACGTCTCCACAGTCTTTGTGATAAGCTAAGTTAGCCAAATAAGCAGCTGTGTTGGAGACACATTTGTCACAATTTTTCTGGCACTATTTTTTAATTAATGCTGACCTTCCCAATCATATTACCTCCTACGTAGCTGTGAATGATTAATTGTTTTTCTAGATGGGAAGAACAGCATTTAGATGTCTAAATAAATAAATAAAGTGAGAGCGGAGAAGTGGCCAGTGATTTAGAAGTCTGGGAGCAGGCGAAGTTTGTGTGATCATCTGACTGCCCGGTTTCTTGCCCCATAATAATTTTTTTAGCTATGTCGCCATTTTCCCCTGATTTCAGCAATATATCGGTGAGTCCAATTTATCACCAATTCAAATGATGGCCAAAGCTACAAAAATACCTAGTTTGTGCTACACTGGCGACAAACTTGCTACCCACAGCTAACATACAACTTGTTTGTGACTGTCTTTTCCCACATTGCATGTTGTTTGGGATGACATGCTCCTGTCAACAGAAACTAATACTTACGCTGTGGTTTCCACTCCTTGAAAAGGATGTTGACTGTAAGCCGCTAACTACATCTGAACCTGACTGAGCTTTTGTGGGAAATTCTGACATATCACTCTGCCTGCACCGTTTCCTGCCACAATCTTATAGATTGAAGGCTTCCAAATGAGTTTGTTCGTAGTGATTATCATCAGCTTTGTTCTCAAGGGGATGGCTGAACCCAGAGCAGAACGGAAACAATGCCACACACCATTACACAACCGCAACGACTGAAAAAAAAAAAAGCTATAAGGATTCACTTTGTGTTGACCACACACAGTGACACATGGTCAGACTGAAGTCTGAACTTTTATTTAACAGTTACATCACCAGAGGAAATGGGTTTATATGGGCGATTTCTATTTGTAACGTGTTTGTGGACGGTATGGCTTTTTAGGATGGATCTGTTTGTGTGTATTTGTGTGCCCTATCTGTAACACATTCAGACACTTCTGCCTCGTTCCATCAGGTCATCAACAAGGAATTTCCCAGGATGCATTAGCCCAAGGGTACGGTCAATCAGTGATACACTGCTGGCAGCTGTCACAGCAGTGTGTGTATGTGTGTGGGTTTGTGAGTACTTGTTTGTGTGTGTGAGATGATGACAGGGTGTGAGCTGAGGCTATCTCTCTCTTGTTGCCTCTAAATAAGAATAATAGGATCTTGGTCTTTATCAGAGCATTGCTGTTTCTGAGAAATCACAATGGCGTCCTGTGGTGGTTTGTCACCAAGGCGACACCGAGACGGTTCACAACCAGCTAATCAAGGTTATCTGATGACTGTGTCAGCAGCTCGGGACCTTACACAATTCTCCCATAGCGTGGCATATTCAGAATCAATTATGTGCTTTGGGGAAAATGCCAAGTTTATAAATAACATTTTGTTTTTGTTTTTTCCCCCCTTTCTCGCTGTTTGTGTCTATAAAACCATAATAATGAGATTGTGAGCATACCTTACGTCACAACCTGAGGGCTTTGATCAGTAAATGAGCAGAGGATGAGTCATCCTATTCACTTAGATTGCCTTACACTTTTACACAGCCTCATTTTCCCCATCAAATTGCCTCAAACTCTTTTTTCTGATGGCATCACTTTGGGTGGGACTGAGTACATAGCTATTATTTTGCTGTTTTTATTTTTAACCCGACATGCACTCATCACAGTACAGTGCTGTTTTTCTTCTGAGCCGTGCAGCAGGTGGTTAGTTTAATCTGATATGCTGTAAATAGGTAGAGACCCAGATGCAGAACAGCCCACAAAAATCAGATTTTGTGCACACATTTGCGTCAGTGTCCTGCTGAAATACTCCAACAAATCTTCTCGCCCAGACCATACTGTGTTTCCATTTCTGGCCAAATGAATTAAAAACAACACAAGATATTTAAATAGACAAAGTTTGACTCCTGAAACAGATGGTCTGTACTACATTTAGATTTCTTTCTCTCTCACACAGACACACACAGGCTATTTCCCCTTGGCTGCTGTAATGTAAGTGGATTAAGGCCTTTCAGAGAAAAGTGGTGCCTGCTGGTTTATCCTGCTGCCATCTTTGCCAACCGTGCACCACCTGTAACACTCGCCATCTGTAATTGGGGACTTAGTGGTGTTTAAACCCCATGATACTTCATTTTATGAATCCGTCGTAGCAGTTTTGCAGATACTTGTGTGGGAAAAGTAACATGTTATTCTGGGAAAGAGAGAGGGAAAGACTGAGCTGCTACAAAAACTGTTACACAATTCTTTATGGAGAAAACTATTTTAAAGAGAAGGCTCCAATGGAGCATAAAGTGTTTAATGTTTAAAGACTTTTACACCACATGTCTCCACTAAACTTTTATTGAAATCTGACACAACACAAGAAATATTTCTGCAAAAATATACCCCCAATCTTCATAAGGAATCTGTGATTAAATAGGTTACAATAGAATGGCAAACTAGAATATTATTATTGGATCTTTTATGATGATTTTATAACATGCAGGAATATATTAGAAACTTAAAATAGTATATAAAAAGTATCTGTAGACTGACTGACAAAAATAAGCTAGCTTACAGTTGAAACAGCAAACTTCAAAAAGACTCAGACCAAATAAACAGTTCTTATTTCAAATGTCAGATTGTCACACCAATCTACAGTTTGTTTACGTGTTTTATTTGGGTAATGTTAGGCTTTGCCAAATTTTTGCTGAAAGAAAATTTTATTCTGCAGCACTCATCTTCCATATGCTTCTTTTGGGTCTGTCGTTCTGTCCATCATTCAGTGGATCTCCCTGGAGAGCACAGAGCACATAAATACTGAGTATCAATATTCATCAAATGTAGTAAATATGTGCTTAGGTGAATAAACACTATTCAGTGACTCACCAGGACAGAGAAAGCCCCAGAGCGACCTGTCTTCCCCCTTTTGGGTGGCTCGATCTTCACCTGCCTCCTTGCTCGGACCACCTGGAAGTAAGATCCCACACAGAAGAGGGTTGTGTCTTAACAAGTGACATTGTCTGATGATTGAGTGACATCAAAAAGCCATTTCAGACGAACACAATATACTGGGTGAGTAGACCAAACTGATCCAATAAAATTGAGTAAGGTGGCCTTATAACTCACCTGTAGGGGGTTGGATTTCTTGTCGTTGAAAAGGAGGGAGTAGGAGCCCACGCGGGATTTAGGCTTTTTCTTCGCAGCTTGAATCAAGTGTCGCCTGGACCTATCAGTCTAAGAAGCCACAGACACAGCAATAGGTATTTACATCGATACACACTGTACACACATTTGTACTCTCTTTGAATCCACTTAATTGAATATGGAAAACAAACCAGCACAGTTTTTTTTAGCATTACATAATTATCTCCCTCTCAGTGCAGTAAGTTTCTCTTATATGCTACTTTTTTTAGTGAGCAAATACTGTGGTTTCTGTGGATCATTTCTGTATTTCAGCACACACAGATGACACAGTATGACTAAAACTTTACTCGGCCTTTGGCGGCAGCAGCCACCGCTGTAAACCGGTCCCCACCTCCCTCGCATTTGGCTTTTGCTCACTCTGACTCCTGTGTGACTAACACAAGCGGTTTACCTGCTGGATGAGAGTATTAGGGAAGCCTTTGACAGAGACGGCCCCAGGCAGGCTGGAGTGGCTCATGTGGGTGGGACCCCTCCGCTCCAACTGTCTCTTACGTCTGAACGAAACCTGCAAGGGTGAGACAGTCACAACCATATCCACAGCCACAGAGGGAAACAACAAGTCCTGCACGTATCCCTGCGTGGTAAAATGTATGAAGTCTTATGTGAGGTGGATACTAAGCGGAGGATGTTGTTTTTGTTTTCCTCTGGTCTGCTCTGTTTGCTCTCTTCCCTTTCTCATCCTGTACTGTCCTGCTTTGTACTGTCAGTCTCCTTTTTTTATTGGCAAATACGGAGAGGAAACTGCAAAATTATTATTGTCAGTGGCCCGGCAATTTCCTGCTTTTCTTATTGATCTGCACATAAAGGAAACACTGCTATTGATCCACCTGTTTTCCTAATAAATGGACTGTCACTTTGAGGCACAACAGGTTTCAGTTTGCCAATTAGGACTTGGGTACATTTATAACGGTACCGCAGGACCGTCCATCAATGCTTTATGTAAGTGTGGAAATAAAAATACTGTTTCCAGCACTGGATATTAACTTTCTACTCTGTCAAATTTTTCCATTCTGTTGAAAACAAAGTAAACTACAAAATATTTGCCTGGCAATCATTCGCACTGACATTTAAAGTGCTTACAGTGATTGCTGTTGGCCAACATTTTAATGATAATTTTAGTTTTTTATTATGGAATGAACTTTGTGGAATATTTGAGAGTTCACCGTGGCACAACAGCTGTACTGTTTGGAGTTGAAGGATAATTGCAATATGCATATTATGTTCTTGCAGGGACTTTAGTAACTTTCCAATTTCAAACACGGCCAGATAGCTTTGTCGCATCACATCATATCCCCACATGGATCAGTAATATAGTTATCTAACTATTCAGCCTATTCAGTAATATAGTTATCTAACTATTCAGTTTGCATGGATTAGCATACCTGTGTTTTGTGTTATATAAGAAAAAATGACCTCAACAGCCCATCTGGTATTTTGTTTCTGCATCATCTTTCTTGTACCAAGACGTCTTTCCCCTTATCCTTTGCATGCTGTGGCTTTCCTATGAACATTAACCAGACTCCTTCAGTGTTAAACCTGCTCTGAACTGGAAATCGAGGACCTAAAGTATTCAGAGTGAAGCAATAACCGTGAGTAGGATATGAGTGAGTGTTGGCACATACCTGTGCATCAGTTAGGGGTAGCGCCCTCTGCTGCTTCTGATCATCATACTGAGGAGAAGAAGAAAATCAAGTCAACACAGCTGTTTTATTGTTTTCAGTACAAAAGTGAATTTACATTAATTCAAAGAAATTAATATTCTTACACTGCAGCCCAGTTCAATACACTGTTTTCACTGTTTTCATGCATGGTGCACTAGCTACTGTTAGTGCTGTAAAAAGATGACCTGTGCATTGTGAATGTGTGACCATTACAAAAATGTAATAGGATAAGTTTTTATTTAGTTTCATTGCGTGAAAGTAGTCTGCTGACCCAGACAAACCAGGCCAACAAAATGTCAGAATGTATGTCATTACTTAACAAATAATTCTTCAGCACCAAAGACACCAAACATGGCAGCATTTTTTGGTGGAAGCCGCAGCTGTGACCTCCTCATAAAATTCAGCTGTATAGTGTGTGTGTGTGTGTGTGTGTGTGTGTGTGTGCGCGTGCGTGCGTGCGTGTAGGATATTAAGAAATATTCAGCCTCCAAACCTGCTACAATCCATCTGGCTTTCTGCTGTTGCGCACGTTATGTGTTGATGAGTCCCATAAATGACTCATTTAATGTATTCCACTCCATAATAAACACAAGTGATCTCGGTGGGAAAAGGCGAAACACAAGTAAACTAAACCAAATGCACCCTGTGAAAAGATGCTGCATCGGGTATTAGTTAGTTACCTCACCACATTTGAAGCTTAAAATTGCGCTTCCTGTAATTACAATACAAATAACTACTGCAGAAATGCACATATGCTGCCCAAACTCCCTCAGATGGAACAGAATTTTCCAATGATAACTCTTTCATGTGTGGGTGAAAATCCTCCTCTCTCCTCCTGCAGCTGTTGAATTCGTTGTCCAGAGGAGGGTGATTTCTTTGGACAGAACATGAGGACTGTCCACAAAAAAATGCTAGCCACAAGTTTAAAGTATAACAGCCACTACCCACATGAAAAGCCAAAAAGGGAGCAGAAAGATTTTGTTCCACAGAGGGGTGTATTTTTGGTGCGTTGGCATTATGGCTGTAAAAACCATTACAATGAGACTTTGTTTCTGTTAGAAAACCAATGATACGTCTCCTACCATCTTGAAACACACTTGACCACTATTACCGTCACTGATGCCTCTTTCAAAGGAGTCAGAGAACATACATTCCAGCAGAGTTACTGGCTTCCTCTGACCTGAGCTGTATAAACACTGACCACACTGTGTCTGAAAACAAACTGAATCAGTATGCTACCGGTCATTTCAGCCTAAACTAAAAGTACAAACTGTTAAAGATTATTATTCTTAATATTCTTCTTATTCAGGAATTATACTGATCGATAAGGTGAATTCTAAATTATTTCCCTTGTTAAGTCTATACCAATCACATGGAGGAAATGATGGTTAAAAGAAGCTGATCAGATAGAGACAGATTTTTAAGTCAACTGAGAAATGGCTTCTCCAAATGAGGCTGAAAGAAATGTCTAAACTAATTTGTGATACACTCTAATTTAAAAAGAATTATTCTCTTATAATTCAAATCAGACTGACTTAACATTAACATTAGAGATGTAGCCCCACTTTTCACTGCCTGCATGCATAACATAAGATGTTCTGTAGCGTCCTTGCTGGAGAAAATGCTGATAATTCAGATTCTTTTCACTTTCATTCGAGAGAAGGGTTAGTTATTATGTAGTTTGGTCCAGAAAACAACATTTAAAAAGACTCAAACAGGCTGCACTTACCTCTGTAGCGTCACAACAGCACAGATGATGACTGATACATAATGAGCACCTTGGTTACCACTCTCCTTCCCTAACTATCACATCCATTAGCAGTGTGTCTCTTACCTGTCCGTCTGCGGTCTGTCCGCTGACACAAAGCTCTCCCTGTGTTGCTCCTGAGCAGTCAAGAGCATGTGACAGCAGGCTTGCCTGCAGGCAGAGCACGCACAGCCAGATAGTAAACCCCATGATCCAGGCAAGAACTCGAGTGTTCCCAGCCCTTGTCAGCTCCCTGCTTTATACTCTCTGCTCTGCTAATGGGGAACAGATGCAGGGGAATGGGAGGCCATGCCAGCTTCACGCAGACAAACAGCCCACCACAAGCCTGTGCTACGCGCCAGCCAGTGGCCTGCGGTCCTGCAGAAACATGTCAGACATCTTGAGGGGCCTCCCCTTTAAAGACGGCCTTCCCCTATCCCACTACCCCTACCCAAAGAGGAGTTTGAAAGACATTTTCCACTTATGCCTGCATTGCTTATGCCAAAGTGTGTGTGTGCTTGTGTGTGTTTGTAAATAAGGGAGAGTGCAGAGAAAGAGAGAGGAAACTTGTGTTGTCAAACCTCTGTACATAACAAATGAAAAATTGGTGGTTTGGTTCTTGTAATATCTTAAATAAATGTTGCATTATGCAGAGAATTTGTCTCCTGACTCAGCGTAGATGAGATGCTTTCTACATGTATAGGTACAGCAGTAGCTGTTACAGTTGTGCACTGATCCAAACACTTCAGCAAGCCTTTTAGAATTACAGTAATTAGTCCTCAGTAGACTTCTCATTGGAATACATAGCAGCTATAAACACAGTCAACCCATCTTTCAGCTTGCAGACTTCTGTTGACTGAACACTGGCACAGAAGGTGAAATTGTCAGATGTGGATAAAAATCACTAGTCTGTTATGACTCAGGGAAACTATCAACAGGGCAAGAAGAAAATGAAAGAAAAAGAAAGAAACGTCTCTAAATTGTACAATATGTTATGTGTTATCTGGAAAGAGGCCATATAAGCTCTGTGGGAGCCTTTAAAACATAGCACACCATAAAGAATGTATCTCCTGATGGGGCAAGTTGTATATGAATAGGCACCCTGTCTCAAGGTGTATTACAGGATGGAAAGAGTGAGTGGGAGCGAGAGAGACGAGAAAAAAGTCTGATGTCTTCAGCCTCAGGCTCCGTGCCACAGAGGAATCGTCTCCCGCTATGACTGAAAACATGCACTGCTGTGAAAATAGAGGAAATTAAAGTGTCATTTCCGGTCCAAGACATGCCCACATACCACTTTCCTGTCCTCTAGCATATCAGTGAAAGATGTTTCTTCTTACGCAAAAAGTTTCAAAACATTGTGAAAGCATTTGTAATGTCTCTGACAATTTCCCAGTGAGTCACAGTTTGAGTGGGGAGAATAAAAGATGGTTATTTATCCTCATCCCCAGGTCCCAATCCCTCCTCCCCATTTTTTCTTAGATATCTTTGACACTGTGTAGGAAACAGTGTTACAAACGTTTCCCTAGAGGTTCAGCAAGACCAATGAAGATAGCTGCTCGTGAATGGTTTGAATTTATGGAGGGGATGTTAAGTCAGGAGAAAGGAAGGAAAGGAAGAGTGAAAAATGACCTCAAAACAGCAAACACTGCTTTACTTGGCAGCCAATCCAAAATGGACTCAAGTCTACAAGTGGACAAACATGTCAGCCACTTTACTGGACAGACCAAGCAATTCATTTTAGTGCCAATCCTACTGAGAATCACAGTCCGTGCTTTAACAAAACATCAGATGACTTCTTGTAAGACATGTCGAAATCATGTTACCAAGGTTACAAGTTTGCATTAACCTCTCACAATCCACAATGTGGCCTAGTAAAGAGACAGCAATCACAGCAAGGGAGAGTTAAGCTGATGATACACGGAGCAACTTTTAGAGCAATGGTGCTGGGCAATGTTACTGTCAATGGTAATGAGTAAAGATCACTACTGTAATCCCCTTCCCCCACCACTCCGCCACCCTCCCCGCACCACCGCAATCTGTTCAAAACATAGTCGGACTTGCCACCAGCAACATTGCCCAGCAACATTGCTCAAAATGTTGCCCCGTGTATCATCAGCTATCCTTCATACTTCAATCCCTGTTCTTCACTCTACACTTTCAAGTTTAAAGTAACTTTTTAATGCATCTCACGGAGTTAACTGTAAAAAATTACTATTCAGAGCCACTCTCAGTATTCGTCTCCCTTGCCTCCCTATTGGAAGTGTCATTCATCAGTGGCTCTGCTTTGAGCTGCTGTCAATGCGTCCGAGGATGATGCTCTACAGATAGCAGCTGTTGCCCTTGTGAAAAAGAAATGAAAAGACAGCTTTTTTTACACTGCACACTGCCTGCTCTCACCAAAGACAAGAAGACAGGTAATTTGTGACACATAAATACTTGTAGAAATGTGTTTGTGTCTGTGTGTGAGGGTAAGCAACAAAGCTGTTTGGCAGCAGGATGAGAGATGAGAAAAAACAGGAAATGTGATAACAGGAAACAACATCTGGATTAGGAGACATGACTCATGGATGTAATGGATGTTTTGGATTATGTAATTGAAACATTGACTCTCTTACTGTTGCATTTGTTAAAGGGTTGGTTCACCCAAATTACAGAGAAAGATTTTCTCACTTAACTCTATTTGTACAGATAGTTTTGGTTGTATTTGCCCAGATTTTTTAGATATCTGTGTCTGGAAATATCGGCTCTGCCCTAATTCTATGGAAGTTACAAAGATCAACTTTCAAGAAACATTGTCTCTGTTAGGCTACTCTGTGCAATCTACAGTGAACCATTTTTTCAAATAAGAGCTATTAGGATTGGTGCAAAATAAGTCCTTATGAAGACTATTAACATAGTGGCAGTAGAGGTGAGTTAACCTATTTGTTTTGTTGAGATGGTTTAATAGTTTGAGCCTTCTTGCAGCTACAGCCAAGAGACAGTTAGCCTAGCTTAGCATTAAGACTGGAAACAGGGAGAAACAGCTAGCCTGGTTCTGTGCAGCTAAAAAATACGTGCACCTCTAAAGAAACAAGATATAACTCTAATTGAGCATTAGAGTTGCTGGTCAGCGGATTTAGTAACCTATGAACAGAGCCAGGCAAGCGGTTTCCCCCTGCTTCCGTTCTTTATACTAAGCTTAGCGAATTGGTCACTAGCTTGAAACTTAATGTAAAGACAGGGGAGTGGTATGGGTCTTCTCATCTAATCTTTGGCAAGAGAGTAAATCTGCATTATTTCCCAGAACATCTATTCTATTGAAATCATTTATTCCCTAACAGATGTGTCCAGAAAGAAAATGAAGCAAATTTTTGTCTTGACTCATTTGTGTGAATTTGATCTGAACCCAAAATAGCCAATGTACCAATTGTACATTAGCTGTAAGCTAGCTAGCAAGGTATGCACCAATGTGCCTGTTTGTTTGTGTTTAGCTCAGCCTTTGTCTGAACTCAAAACACTTGTCTTCTTTAATCCCGTCCTGTCTCTCTCCTTTTTTTGTCTCTGTACATTTAAGAACCAGATTTATAAAGTCATAAAACTCACGCACATGCATCTTTGCATCACTCTGTGCTGTCCAAAGCGCGGGTGTGCTTCTGATCGTGTCTTCCCATTGCCTTTGCAGGCACACTGCCTCTAAACATAAATTTACTCAGCATTCTGTCTGAACACACATTAAGAAACAGTCTAAGAAACGAAGAAAATCTGTCTTTAATTTGGAGTAAAACATGTGTTCACCCCCAGCACATAAAAAAGGCTTTATAGAGCAATCGTGTTGTAAATAAAAAACTACAGCTACCCTTTATAGTTCTAAATATGTATTTGTATATCAACACTAAAAACAACTAATAGTCAACGTAAGTGGATTTGCTTCATCCTTGGAGGGCACCTAAAATGTTAATATGCTTCCAAAAGAAATTAACCACTAACACAACGGTCAATGAGCCTTGTTGTGCATCAAGGTGAAATGTGTCCTATTCAAGCCTCCATTTGGCAAAACAAACTCACTCATGCTCCAAATAGCCATAGTTCCTATCATGCTTCAGTGCTATTGTATGAAGATATTGTATGTGTGTGTGACAGATGAAGAGCTCTCGAATGTGTATGAAGGGTAAAACATGAACAGTGTGTGTATACTTTATGTCAGGTCATGTAGATAAAAACCTCATATGAGGGACTGAAACTCAGGTCTCCCCCCTCCTCTCTGTACAACTGGACAGGCTTATAGCTGCGATTGCAAATCAATACACCTCTACAGCACATTGTCCTCTTCTTTTTAGATTTGGCTACTTTGTGACAGCTTTGTGAAAGGCGCAAGGGAGAGAAAAGCAGCGAGGCTTTCAATCCTCTCATGTGGAAACAGCAGAGGAAGCCAAGGACGAAGCTGAGGAAAAACAGTTCGGCTATGCTGCAATTTGTGTGTCATTGAACAAAGAGGGATTATTGTCTTGCCTTTTACATTTCACTTTCCATGTATGTGTCCTTGGGAACACAGAGGAGCGCTCATTAGATTTAAAGTGATCCTTAAATATATCATCAGTTACTTACAGCATTTGTCTTTAATCTCCCATCTGTACCCTGATGCCCTGTTCAGTATTTCACTGAATAAAAAGACACTGACAATGAGGGCTTTATTCCATATGCAGTCCTTTAGATCCATCTGCACATTGCCATAACTTATCAATTTTGACATCAAAGCTCCCAGGAAAAGAAAACATTCAGTCTGTAGATAATCAAATGAATCGTAAGTCTCTGTGTCTGGGGGCTCTTTGGCGATGTGACATCTCAAATGACCCAACATTTATACACAAATATCTGAGGTGGTTTTATTACACAGGGAAAATCCTGTCTTACTCCACAAAAGCAGGAAAATAGGCCAGTGGCATGCTGAAACATTAATCCATAATATCGAAAGGGCACACTACTGAAATGATGCTGCTCTGAGGGCATTGATTACATTATGGTTTGCTGGGTTAAAGCCATTTTATTACTTCAAAATTAATATTCTGAGGATTTGATATGACGACTGACAAAATGTGACAGTTAAACATGGGTGCAAACATTTGTTTTGAGGATGTAAATGGTTTGGTTTTCAGTTACGCATTAAATGACACGGATACACATTAAATGTGTATTATAAGAACTTATTGAACCAAAACAAATTACTCTTCTATACAAATAATATTTGAATATACAGGTCTGTTCTTAATCATGCAGTGCCAGCAGCTTTTACTGTTGTATTCAAACTAGCACACAGGCAGGATGTCTTTTTTTAATGAGCTTACTTGGCACCATTGCAGCATTTCAGAGCTTTTCCTTGCAGATGA